CCGTAAGCCTTGTTTTAGACATTGAATTTCGGTCGCGTGAAATGCAACTAAGACAATAGATAATGAAGGCCGAAGCTTAATGAGGTTTATCATATCATTATTGTCTTAGTACTGCGTGCATAAATTATACACGTCCTAATTACGCATTCAGTAATATTTTTTTTAATTGACCGGGAAAAGCAAGACAAAATTTTGTTTATTTCTCGTTCAATTTTTAACCAAATTCAACCAAATTTTAATCAGTTCTTCCCTAGCCGATGGCAAATGCATTCAAAAAATTTCGTACGGATATGTTTGGTATTTCTTGAGTTATCGTGCTCACAGACAAACACACACACATACACACACACACACATACACACACACATACACACACACATACACACACACATACACACACACATACAAACCCAGATGATTACATAACCTCCTGGCGGAGGTAACAAACCCAGATGATTACATAACCTCCTGGCGGAGGTAATGATTTAGAATATTCATTGCCTTTGGCATATCATTAGATATTCCAAGTGTATTCTCACCCTGGCCTGTACTTATTAACTACCTATTACACATCGTATACTGATGTGACTATATTCTTCACTGATTATATCAACCAGCTTAACAGAGAATTTGCACAACTCAAGAAAAAATTGGCTGAACTAAACAACACTGTCAATGATATAAAGCAGAAAGGTTGGTGTGCTTATGTCTTTCTGTGTTCAAATTATTCCATCACAGCATCACAAGTTCAGCATATACAATGTTACATGAATGTGGTGAATTTTGGTTTGTACTCTTTTACAAATACAATGTATTACAAGTTTCAAAAATGTACAGGTTTACATGAAAGCGAATCGATACTGCATTATACCAGAATAATTTAAACAAGAATGAACATAAATTAATACACATTTGTTGCATATTCGTTAAAATGTGTAGTTGTATATTGATATATTTGTTCTATGCAGAGAAAAATATCTTCCCGTTAACTATTTTTATCTAGTTTTGCAATTTTAACATTTTAGGGAAAAGTTGTGCTGAACTCTATAAATCCGGAGTGAGATATGATGGTGTTTACACTATCAACCCTGATATCCTTGGATCTTTCCAAGTCAGATGTGATATGCAAACAGATGGTGGAAGGTGGACAGTGTTCCAAAGAAGACAAGATGCAAGTGTTGATTTCTATCGTGGATGGCAAGATTACAAAAATGGCTTCGGTGATCTTAACGGTAATTTTTGGCTTGGATTGGATCGAATACATCGTTTGACAAAATCAGAACAAAATGTTCTAAGAGTGGACTTGATGGATTGGACTAGCGACACAGCGTACGCAAAGTATGGATCATTTTCTGTGGCGTCTGAGTCTGACGGTTATAAACTGAACCTAGGCAGTTTTTCAGGTAAATATGATTTGATAAATATTAATTTTATTATATACAGTATAAGTAGAGACGAAGCAAGGGATGGGGTGTGGCTTATATATGCCTGAAGGTCATGTTACAGGAGGCAAGTTTTGCTACCTATAGCAACGTAATTTCGGACACAAAGCCATGTTATCTAAAACGTAGTCACATGAAAGATAGGTAGCTTAAGATACACCAAATCTACGACGCGGACGTGACGAAAAACTGCCGCTATTATCACAGTTTCACTTCGCAGGTAAAAACTATGGATTGGTTAATGCTGGTAAACAAAGCCAGGGACACGAGAAAAACAATTAAAGTAAAACTAGTCTCCCATTATTAGCGTCTGTTTTTTAGTCGCGTCTGCGTCACAGATTTGGTGCATCTTAAGCCCGTTCTCCACTAGGCGAATTTATTCGCGCGAACAGATAAAAAGTAGGAAGCGATCCTACTTTTTCGCCGCGAATTTTTTCGCCGACCAATCACGTTGCCGGATTTCGGTTTTCGCTTCGCGTCGCGCGAAAAAATTCGCCTAGTGGAAAACGGCCTTTAAGCTCCCTCCAATTGATCATTTGAAATACTCCCTTTTCCCAATTCTCCTTATATATTCACGCTTGGCATAAAATGTTGCGAAATCGGCCAAACTGCCGATCATGAAGTTCAGCGGTCTTGCCCATGAGCATAGAAAAAATTCAAGATGGCGGCGATTAGGAGTGAATTGCAAAATCTGTTAGGGCGAATTTTTCATCTTGTGAAATAGAAAACTGTTGTGGATTATTGCGGAAACAATCGATGGGGACTGGTCAATGTGCGAAACAAACCTTCAATGAGAAAATCACGTTCGAATTAACAGATTGGCAAAGGCAAACTGGTCAATTTCTTTCTGTTGACATGTTAAAATACTTCTTGTATAAGATTTAATTAAGTGATATCGAATGGATTTTGCTCAGGCGACGTAAAATAAAGCTAACAGCTAAAACGAACGTTTACATAAACCTACCGCTCAGTGTCAGGAGGCTTGTCTAATCTCTTAATTTACAAACTATTTCGCAGTCTACTAGTGTTGGCTTAATCAATATACAAGGATGGATAATTTGTAAGCAACTATATTGAATTTTTGAAAGCTTTCACACATTGAAAGGAATTACAGTATCATGTCTGTGCTAACACTTGAAACAGTTATAAATATTTTTGAATTATGTACTGTACATGTTAATAAAGATAACTTGAAGTATTCTATATTCACTAGCATGTCATATTTCTAACTTTCTGGTCTTTATTTAGCATACAGTATCTCACACACACTACCAGTAATATGGCTGACATACTAAGTAACTAAGGAGTAAGGTGATAAATTTCTCTTTTGGTACATGCAGTCAAAAGTGTTTTTAGTGACTGTATGTAACCCATTATGACTGCCTGTGTATCAGTATGTGACAGGCATTTTACTGGTATGTGTATATTATTTGAACTTCCTGCATTGGCAAAGTACTTTGATTTGTATATTAATAAATTATATGATATACACCATGTCTTTGTATCCATTGATGTTCATACTTCCACAACCAGGGTGCTTAACCCATTAAGTGGCAGAGCTTCCCCATTGACGAGTAAAATTGACTGGCGTTAGACAAGTAAAAAATGGGGTGCATTGCGGTTCAATGGGTTAACACATAAAAGAACACACAGAGAAGAAAACCCATATGAATGTGTTGTTTGCATGTGCAGGAAATGTTCACATGTGATCAATTCAAAAAGACTAAAATAATACACACTGGATAAAAAAGTTTATGAATTTGTTATTCCATGGTCAAATGTTTAGTACACTACTGAACATAAGGAACAATACTGGGAACAATATTTGCCAATAGTCCTGGTAAAAATATTAATTAGACCAGGCAATTTAATTGAGAACACTATTTGCAATAATACATAATAATACATTTTTAATTAGATCAACCCTCACTTGCACTTGGCAATTACTGACAGGGTTAATATTACAGTCAAAGTCAAACTTAATACACATATAGTTCAGTATAGTAGGCAGGAATAATCCAAACTCAGTGACACATTATTTCACAATATTCTGCCATTAGTAAATAAACTTTGCCTTGCAAGACCTAGAAGAAAATGGTAAAGGTTTAGAGATCAAAAATCTTGCATCACTATAAATGATAAACCCAATATTCTTACAGTACGGTAACTCTCTTTAAGGGTAAATTTAAATATCTGACTGATATAAGACCGAAATAACAAAGTAGCCCAATTACTACAGGTATAGCCTGTAAACACGACTGTTTTGGGGCACATCACATATCTACTCAGTATAGCATATACAAAACAAGCAAATGACTGATGGTGACATTGGGAAACACTGCGGCTTACTGAGTTAACACAAAAGGTGGACCGAAAACTCCATGGATGTATTGTGGCTGTATCATTGGTATATAAAAACATAAGCCTCACATGGGTGGTTTTCCTTGCTACTTTCAGAACTTAAATCATTAAGCGCCAGCCCTCTCCCCTTGACAAGTAAAATCATCTGCTGTTAGACAGAGCAAAATAATAAAGTAGGGCGCATCAGGGCGCAGTGCGACTCAATGGGTTACTAGACACATAGACATATAAGCCTGTCAACCATTAAGTGCCAGCCCTCTCTTTTTGACAAGTTAACTTGTCTGCCATTAGATAGAGACTGACAGAGTAAAATAATAACATAGGGTGCATCAGGGTGCAATGTGACTCAATGCACTATAACTACAGTAGACACAAAGACATATAGGGTAGTCAATCATTAAGTTGTTTAAGCACCAGTGCTCTCCCCTTGACAAGTAAAATGGTCTGCCGTTAGACAGAGTAAAATAATAAAGTAGGGCACATCAGGGCGCAGTGCGACTCGATGGGTTAACTAGACACACAGACATATAAGCTTGTCAACCATTAAGCGCCAGCCCTCTCTGTTGACAAGTTAACATGTCTGCCGTTAGAGACTGACAGAGTAAAATAATAACATAGGGTGCATCAGGGTGCAATGTGACTCAATGCACTAACTAGACATAAAGACATATACTAGGGTAGTTAATCATTAAGCCGTTTAAGCACCAGCGCTCTCCCCTTGACAAGTAAAATCGTTTGCCGTTAGACAGAGTAAAATAATAAAGTAGGGCGCATCGGGGCGCAGTGCGACTCAATAGGTTAACTAGACACATAGACATATAAGCTAGTTAACTATTAAGCGCCAGCACTCTCCGTTGACAAGTTAACTTGTCTGCTGGTAGATAGAGACTGACAGAGTAAAATAATAACATAGGGTGCAATGTGACTCAATGCACTAACTAGACACATATACATATAGGCTAGTTAACCAATTAAGCTGTGCCAGCACTCTCCACTTGACAAGTAAAATCGTCTGGCGTTAGACAAAGTAAAATAATAAAGTAGGGCCCACCAGGGCGGCGAGGGCGCAATGCAACTCAATGAGTTCATAGATTGCTGAAACTATAAATCAAGTCTGTGTACAAATACAACACTTAGGCCATGCTGCCAGCTGTGCCTGTGGTTTACCTGAATTTGCAAGCAATTATAGGTTTGTTTCAATATTCAAAAGATTTTTCTAACTTCAAAGTTAAAAAAACTTCACATTTATATAATAACAGAGTTTACATTGTCAGAATTGCATGTTATGTGCTGAAATGTAACACTGAGCCAGTTCCCTCAAAGATTACTTACAAATCCCTCAAAACCCTATCATGGAACATGGCATATTGTCTATAGTCAATCTTCTTATAATAAATCTGTGACAACTGTCAATGTGAAAATATAATATACAACACATTATTGTTCGTAATTTTAAACATATTTCGCTTGTTTTAAACCCTCCAAATTCGAAAATATAGGGTTAATTAAAGGGTTTGTAGCTATAGGCCGCTATAGGTATTATAGTTCTTGAGCGCTCAAGAATGTATACAATATACAAGTCAACAAGTACACACGCCTGCCTTTCAAAACATATCAATGTATTATCCCTTGTTTCGTACAAATAATACAATAAACAAATGCCAAACATACCTTTTCGTCTAATCTCCTCAATTTCTGTGTCTTGGTCGATAATTCCATCTTTCTTTTGACCGCAACCTCAGACGCTAAACGTTATATTATTAGCGTTGACATCGAAACGCTGTATTTGGTGGCCTTATTCAAATGCATTTTTACTGCGATCAAAGACGAAATCGAATAAAGTGCTTCGGTAGGAATTTAGATAAAGGCTATAAATTTAGTCCTACCAAATATTATAAAAGGATGGCCTTAAAAACAAAAGTTATTCGAAGCCGAAATTCATCAATTTTAACATTTTGGCTTCGATGCGCCATTGTTTGCGAAATTGCTCTCAAAGAATGCTCGCAAGCGGCAAAACAATAAAGGTAGTCATGGCAACTTTGGTACCATTCTGATCCCCTAATATCACGCTATTCATCCCCAAAGTACATA